CTTGTCGAGGGAGAAGTGGGTCTCAGAGAAGGGATGCTGCCTGCCCGGTGTCACTCTGCAGGCCGGTCATGGAGGCAGGTTCGAGCCCAAGGCTGGCCAATTGCAAAGCCTGTGTCCCTTCTCTGGAGACCTCCTCGGCAGAGTGCATGGCTCCGACTCATGCTGTCACCTGCATCTTAACCCTAATAGTGACAAGGGAACGCAGAAGAAAGCACGTGGTGGGGCGGGGGGTTGTAGAGCCCATTCTCCACTACTTGGCTGGGTGTGGCTTTAGGCAAGTGCCGTGTGCCTCTCTGAGGCTTGGTTTCCCAGCCTGTAAAACGAGGCTCCAGATCCCTTCCCAGGGAGGCCACTGTGAGCATGAACACAGGGAGGTCAGAGGTCGTGTGGCTCACGGTGGGAGGGCTTCTTCAGGTCCTCTTCCGGACACTACTTTCTGCACACGCTCGACACGGCCCCTCTGTCCCTCCCTCCTGCCATCCCCTAGAAGAACACTGAGGGAGGAAAGCCAGGATTGGGCTCTGGTTCATTTGCTTGCCAGGACGTCAGGCTCCTTAACACCCTTCCGTGGGCCTCACGTTTCCTAGAGACAAAGTGGTGGTGGTGCCAGCACCGAGCCAGGATCTGAGCAGGCCCTCGGACAAGGGCAGCCTTCCTTCCCTCTCGTCCAGCCCAGCACGTCCCAGCCAGCTGCGGTGGCACGAGGCTGGGCCTCCGTGTGCTATCTGCCCAATGAGCAGGTGGGACAGGTTGTCCGGGGACCCTCGGCTCTGTGCACACACCAGTTCAGAAAGCACTTCTCAGCTGCCTGCCCTGTTTTATTTTTAAAAATTAACTTTCTGCTTGCAAAATTCGAGCTGTAGAAAGCCCAATGTGCATCCTCCGGCCGAAGAGCATCTCAAGGGCAGGACAAGGAAGCCATTCATCTCTCCAGGCCCCAGCTCAAAAGCAGACAGACAGCCACCTACCCACGTGCTGCCACAGTGCCTTCGGCCTGGCCCTGCCCCACCATCCAGGGGCCACGGAGGCTGTCTTTCCCCTCCAGGTTCCTTGTCTCATCTGGACTCTGGGGTGCTGACATGTGCCTCTCCCAGGATTGCTAGTAAGGGTGTGAGCCACGGAGGGGCTGACAGGTCCAGGTGGGCTACAGGACACGAGCCCCCCCCCACATATTCTCATTCCAAACCCCTGCCGACAGGTCTGGTTATAGGAAAAGGGCACTAGTTTGGGGGTCACATGGACACGGATCCATTCCCTGGCTTTTCCATCGCCTGACTTGTGATCTTTACTTCTCTGAGTCTCTATATCCCCATTTTTTAAATGGTGATCATGATGACGGCTAACCTATATAGAAGACTTACTCTGAAAATTAATAAAGGAAAAGCTTCGCTAAAACGGAGCCAGGAGGCCAGAAGGGGGAGCTCTCACACCACACCACTGGCAGCCAATTACAGGAAGAAGGGTCAATTAGGTCCCAAGGGAAGAATCCCCAACAGCACAGAATCCTCAGTTATAGCTCCCAAAAGGAAAAGATGCACATCACATCTCCTACGAGAAACTGACTGCCCCAGCAACTCAGCCAATGAGAAACTGTCTGAACTCATGCTTCTCTCCAACTGGGCCTTCCTTCAAAACAACCCCTCCCAACTTCCTCCCCTTCTCCATAAAATAATGTTCCCTCTCCTTGGTCAGATTACTCTATGGTTTTTGCCATAGCTTGCTCGTCCCAAGTTGAAATGTTCTGCCGTTCCCAAATAAACCCAGTTTTGTTGGCAAAATAACGGGCTTCTTTTTAAGATCAACTCCATGCCAGACACTGCTTTAAGCACCTTACAAACTCATTTCATCCTCATGACAACCCTGTGAGGTAGGTACTATCAGCCCCATTCTACAGAGACATAAACTAAGGCACAGAGAGGAAGCGTCGCCCAGCTATCAAGGGGAGGAGGCAGGACTCCAAGCCACGCTGGTGAAGGATGGGAGGCTCCTACTTTAATCCCCTGCAGCCTCTGGGGTGCCTGGGCGGCTCAGTGGTTGAGCAACCCACTTCAGCTCAGGTCATGATCTGTTTGTGAGTTCGAGTCCTGCATCGGGCTCCATGCAGAACCTGCTTGGGATTCTCTCTCTCTCCCTCTCTGTTCCCCTCCCCAACTTGTGCTCTCTTGCTCTCTAAATCAATAAATCAATAAATAAAAATACCCTGCAGCCTCAAAAACTATCACGGGACCGTATCGCTCCCAGGACAGGGCACTGAGCCTCCCCATGCTGGCCCTGGGCCCAGAGCAGGATGTCCCCAGCCAGTGCTGGCTGACCTAAATGAAACCAACTCAAGAACAGGCTGCTTGCAGGAGGTCTTGGCCCTAAACGCTAAGCATTTGGCTGAGGATCCAGGGAGGGTCCTAAAAGTCTCCTTCAGATCTGCCTGGGAGTCCTGCTAGGCAGGGAAGGGCCCTGGGCCAGCACCCACCTTTGTTTATGCCCAAGGCAGTGGGCTGGTACATTCATTTCCGGCCTCTGCCCCCCACCAGGGCTGTATTGGCCTAGCCTCGGGCATTCTGCGGGTGGCTTAGTCATAGCTGGGCGCTGCCGTTCCAACGCCTGTCTGAGTGTCCCCCAACCAGCCCCAATGGAGAAGAGAGCTATAACTTGGGCAGATGAAACCCCTTCTCCCCAGGCCTCAGCCAGCCCACCGGCCAGACATGGCACCAGGGTCTACAGGAGGAGCAGGGAGGGGGCTCTGACAGGCTAAGCCGCTTGTCCAAGGCCCCACATTCAGGCCCAGGTAGAGGACGGCTCCCACGTGGGCTTGGGTTCCAAGGTCTGCCCGCTCCCCTGTGTGCTGGGGGGGAGGGACTGCCCTGCCTCCCATGCCAGATGTTCATGCTCCAGATCTCCAGGAGGCTCTGGATGGAGTCTCCTGCAGAAATCTCATGCCTCCCGGGCATCAGGGCTGCTCCCAGCGGGCTCCACCAGAGAGTGCTTTCCCAAGCTTTCCTGCCCCCCAAGTTCTCCCTATAGCACATGTCCGACCCTGGACTTCCCCCAGCCTGTCCCCCCTCTCACCCTGGGCTGCAGGACCGCCCCCCCCATCCTGGTCAGCAAGGTGCTCGGCTAGAGACTCAGCACTTCACAAAGTTGGCACATTCCCTTGGGTTTTTATAACTTGGGGTATCACTTACCAAAAGCAGACAACTCAGGTCTTAAGAACAGATACTAGGGGCGCCTGGATGGCTCAGTTGGTTAAGCGTCCGACTTTGGCTCAGGTCATGATCTCACGGTCCGTGAGTTCAAGCCCCGCATTGCCTGCTTTGGATTCCGTGTCTCCCTCCCTCTCTCTCTCTCTCTCTCTCTCTCTCTGCCCCTCTCCCCATTCTCACTTTCTCTCTGAAAGAGGCCCTGTCTGGCCTCGTTCGATGTGGATTTTAAATCTTTACTTTCTCTAATCCTTAGGAGGTAAGGATGCTCCATCTCAAGAACACACAGCAGCCAGTCCGATCAAGAGCCTTTATGGTTCTCTACAAACAGAAGCTCAACGGTGATGAAGCCAGCCCACTGCCTGCCCCCACGTGTCACAGGCCCCAGGTGGAAATGAGGGGATGTTAGGTACCTTGAGTCAGATGCAGAGAAACCAACGGCAAGGGCAGGGGGCGGGTGAGGGGGTCCAAGGGCGTGGTTAGTGCCTCGAGGTCTAGTCCAGGAGGTCAGCTGTTTTGACAGTTCACGATTTTGAAGCCCTTCCTCCCGTCCCCCAGCAGAGGGAGCACCAAGGGAGTGTAAGGGAGAAAGTGGGGAAATGCAGGAGCACCCCCAGATGGTAATGAACGGGAGTCCCCCAGGTGCGGTTGACCGGGGACCGGGATGTGCCTCCGCTGGCCCACTTTTTCTCCCCACCCCACCTTTGATCGCTAAGAACACACTCAGGTAATGAAGGGTGGATGCTCTCCCCACCCAGCTCTCTGCGGGGGGCCCAGGGTGTCCCCTTCAGATTAGAGCTGAGAACAAGGTCAGGGTCTGGGGTTTTTCAAAGACCAGAAGTCAGGGCCCACTTGGGACCTTGGACACTGGAAGCAATAGCCCCACCTAAGGCCCTGCCCCAGGTCCTACCCATTACAACCCACGGGCCAGGATGGATATGTCTGCCCTCCTTCCCAGAACTCCAGCCTGACCACCGGCACCTCCGTCCTCACCTGGGGCCTCAGGTCCTGTAGGACCCGGCTTGGCTACCTGTCCCCATCCCCAGTGTCCCCTTCTGGGCCTCACCCTCCTCTGTCCCCTCCTCAGCGGGGTTGGCAGCCCCCTCAAGCCCCCAGTGCTGAGGCCCATCTCTGACAGGCAGGACCATGACTAAAGCACAGATTTGGAGCTCCTCAGGCCTCTCCTCTCCTTATCAGCACCGAGGAGCCCTAGGAAAGCAGGTCCAGCACTTGCTTTACTGAAGGGGAACACCAGAGGGGAGACGCCACTCGAGCCCCGTTCCCCGCCACCCCTTACATCCAGGACACCCAGGACCAGGCGTCCTGCCTGCTGGCTGGGAATCCAGAGTCCCCCTCCAGAGGCCTCGCTGCAGCACCCAGCTTTCAGGCCCCCCCACATGGACACGGGCACCCATGGCTCCCCATGCCCTGCCAGAGGTGAGGGCGAAAGGGTGGGGCAAATCACATGACTCCTGCCCCCAAAGCCTCACCTGCCCTTCTCCCTCCTCAGGAAACTAACTGCCTCTGCAGGGCCTGGTCAGACCTGGGGCCCCACGGGAGGTCTTCTGGGACTCAGGCCCTGCCTTCTGCCCCCGCCCACAGAGGGGCCTGGAGACCCTCTGACACCCAATGGGGAGAGCGGAGGGGCTGCCCCTAAGGCCAGCCCGGTCGGGGACGGGCCCCTGCCCCTCGGCACCTCCTGGCAGCTGCCCCCACCACCCCGTGGTTAGAAAAGGAGAAGCGCTGAGGGGCGGGCCGGGCTGAGGCAGGCAGGGAACCGCGCAGAAGAACAGAAGGGTGGCGTGGTCAGGGCACCTCGGGAGGCAGCAGAGGGGTGTCCGAGTTCTGTGCCGAGACTCTGGGGGACTCAGACCCAATGAGCCCCAGGCTGTACAAATTAAGGATGGAGTCGGCAATGATGCGGGCCGTGCGCTTCTGGTATCCGCCCGAGGTCACCATGAGGATGGGCACCTGGCGGCCGCGGACCACCCGAAACACCAGTTCGTCCCGCTTCACGATGCCCTGTGGGGGGAAGGGGGAGGCTGACTCGGGCGGGCGGCCGGGGCTCTGCGGCTTCCGGAGAGCCGGCTTCCGGCTTCCGCTGTGATTGCCGCTGCTTCCGCCCACCTTCCCTGCGGCACCCCCCCCCCCCCCCCCCCCCCCCCCCCCCCCCCCCCCGGCAACCCCCTCAGGGCGGGGACGCACCTGGGGGCTGATGGACAGCCCCCCAAGGCGGTCGCCCTCAAGGATGTCGGTGCCCGCGTTGTACACGACCACGTCCGGCAGGTGCTCCTGGAGGGCTTTCTGGAGGTTCCTCTCCACTTTATCCAGGTACTCGTCGTCCTCCGTGCCCCACTCCAGCTCCACCTTCCGCCTGATGGCCTCTGAGGGAGAGACAGGAGTAGCCCCGTAGGCAAAGAAAGGCCAACGAGCTCAGGAGGGCCCAGTCAGTGTCCCAGCAGGATCGGACACGGTCTGACTCCAGCACTGCTCCCCCTCATTCATTCCGCCCCAAATGAAACTAAAGAGCGCCAAGAGCCGCAAAGGGGGCGCGGCCAAGGGAGAGAAGGGAGTGCAGAAGAAACACTTTGCCCTGGGGATTTCCAGACCCCTGTCGATGACATCTGGAGCCTCTGCCCAGAAATGAGGACCCTGCTGTGCCCTCAGGCCCAAATCCAGCACCTTAATCAGAAACCAGACCCCTGGGCCACACCTGGGGCTTAATGACCCTGAGCAGATGCATCGGCATAAACGTGCCCTTCCTGCACTTGTGTCCCCTATTTGCAAAGCGGGCGGGGCCCTGTGTCTTCAAAGTTCATCTGAGAGTCTCCGCCTTTTGGCTGGTAAGTTTAACCCCCCTGCATTTATTTTCACAACTGTTACATTTGACATCTGAAAATGCATTTTGTGTTTTCGACTTCTATTTTGTATTTTCGACTTCTCATATTTTTCCTCTCATTTCTTTTTTGTCATTCCCTATTTGCCACCAGACAAATGCATACCCAGGAGGGGTCTATTTTTATTCTCCTGGTGGGTACCCTGATGTAAGGACCCACGCATGTGTTTGCCGGACAGGTTTATGTGATCTCGGGTGGGTCAAGTGACTTCTTTAGGTCTCAGTTTGTTCATCTATAAAATGGGAACACACCCCCACCTCCAGGGCTGCTGAGGACAAATGAAGTGACTTCTGCAGAGGCCAGCATGTAGGGAATACTCAGAAGAGAGCTCCATATGAGCACGACCGCACTTAAGACTGAGGGATGAGGGGGCAGCTTACGCTTGGCGAAGCGGTCCCCGGGGTAGATATGGCGGTTATACACATCCATGATGTACACGCGCTTGTCACCCATGAAGTCCCGTTCATGCCCATTGCCCTGTGGAGAGGACACAAAAGCTGCTTGCACACAGGGGCCCTCAGCAAGGCCAGGAAGCCTGCACACGCCCACCCCAGGAAATGCCCCATGAGCCTGCGGAGCTCAGCTGGTCCCTGGAGGCAAAGGATCGCATGGCTATTAAGTAGCAGAGCTGGAATTCAACCTCAAAACGCAGCCCCATGACCTTCTAGCATGACCTTGAGCGGGGCCCAGCCCTCTGAGTTTCCTCTCCATGGAATGAGAAAGGAGTTCTAACCCTGCCACCCTCTGGAGTCTGTGGTGGGATCAGCTGGGATCAGGGACGTGAAAGGGAACCTGTAAAGGGCTGTGCAGGTGTGGCTTAGTTCCGGAGCTCAGTGTCATAGGACTCCACTGCGGGGTGCCCAGCGGCACACAGGCACAACAGCAGTGGGGGGGGGGGAGGTGTCCTCAAGAGCCCAGGTGACACCCTGCCCAGTCTGACCGGAGGAGCCAGCCCCATATTTGGAGCCCTGAGGAAGAAGTAACCCGGAACCTGAGCAAGACTGAAATCATGCGTGTGAGCATCTGTCAGAGGTGCAGCCCCACAGTAGTCCTCAGCTCCGTGCAGGGGTGGCACCCCAAACTGACTAGGAAGCACTGGGGAGCCATAGCAGGCTTCAGGGCGTGAGAGTGGTGTTGCCACCCTGGGCTTTAGGAAGAGCCATCAGCCAGGTGTGTTGGGCACTCAGAAGGGAGGACGGATCCTTTGGTTTGACAGAAACAATGAGGCGGACCCCGTGCCCTGGCTGGGCTGAGTGGCGCAGAGGGACAAAGACCGACCCTCCACTTTTGGCCTGAGGCACAGAGGATGAGCAGCGAGGGGAGAGGCAGATCAGGGTGGGGGGAGCAGAGGCCCAGCTTGGGGCTTGCCAATGTTCCCAGGGGGAAGGGAGCCCCCCACAGTAGGGGGCTGTGGGACAGAGCTGATGGGCATCAGCTGGGGGGGCGGGGCCATGAGACTGCAGCCCCCACAGGGTACTCACCTGATGGGCATCGAGATCAACGATGGTGGCTCTGGAGATGCCCTCCACTCGCTCAAACAGAAACTGCCAGGGGAGGAGAGGGGGAGGTGAGGACTCAGACAAGCCAGAGGCCATAGCCCCTTGGGGATTCCCAATTGGCAAGGGGCCAGGTGGGAGGCCTGACAGGCTTGTGGGCAATCAGGCCACCGGGCAAAGACCTCACACACTCAGAACTGTGTGGCTCAAGAGAAGCATATGTGCATGGTCAAGGAAGGCTCCCTGGAGGAGGCAGCATGTGCTGTGCCCTGAAGGGCTGGAGATTAGGAGTGGGGCAGTTGGGCTAGCTCTTAGAGAAAGCCCGGGATTCCTAGAGGAATATATACGGGTTAAGAAGGTGAAACCTCTCCCTAAGGCTGTGCCCTCTGCCTTATCCCACAAGGCCAAGTTCTCATGCCTCCTCTGGGAAGCCCTCCTTCCCCTCCCTACCCCCAGGAAGGTCTCCTGTGTGTCACCCTCTCTAAATGACCAGGGTCTGTTGACCTGCTTACTCCCACCATTAGTCTGTGTGCCCTAACACAGAGGCCCCTGAGAGAACAGGGGCCACGTCAGTCCATTCCTGATGCCCAGAACAAGGCCAGGCACAGGGTGGTTAAGGGGGGCTCTGCAATCCAGCAGAGGTGTCGGCCAATGCCAGCTCTGCACCTTTCAGCCGTATGACCTTACCTCCCCAGGCCTGGTTTTCCTCATCTGCACACATGAGGATTAAATGAGGGAAACCTGGGTGGCTCAGTCGATTAAGCATCGGACTCTTGATCTCATGGTTAGTGGGATCGAGCACGGAGCCTGTTTGGACTTCTCTGTCTCCTCTCTCTGCTCCTCTCCTGCTCCCTCCCTCCCTCCCTCTGTCTCTCCCTCCCTCTCTCTCTCTCTCTCTCCCCCACCCCGGGGGGGGCGGGGGGGAACAGAAACAGAAAGTGTCAGATCTGCTTTGGAGTCCCTGCCAGCTTCTTCCCCTTCTGAGACTCAGTTCCCTTCTCTGTAATGTGGAGGAGAACCCCAAGTTGGGGGGGGGGGATTCAAGGGAGGGCTCCTGGAGGCGAGCCCCCACGCACGCTCGGGCGCACCTTGATGGCCAGTGTGATGTCCGCGTAGGCACAGAAGCCTCCGCCCCGGTCACTGGAGCAGTGGTGGAAACCTCCACCTGCGGAAGGGCAGACACAGCGTGGTCAGGGCCAGGCACTGCCCCGCCCCTACATCCTCCCCACATCCCGTCCCTGCTCAGCTCCCAGGGACAGGCTCCCAGGACTCCAGGTCGGCAAGTTGAACTGAGCACCCAGGTGCGTCACCATCCCTGGGTCAGGAGGTAGCTTTGCCATCACAGCCATCCCTACCCGGAGCAAGAAACCTCGCAGGCTGTCCCAACGAGTGAGTCCACAGTGCCTGTCACAACCCCCAAGGGCTAGGAGCTTATCTTTCCCCAAACTGTCCCTTGCCTCTGCAGAGCCAGGCCGGCCCCCAAGTGATTTCCCATGCCAGGGAAGGGTGGTGGGGCTATGGGGGACCCATTTACCCTGGGACCACCCAGATTCTGCAGGTGGTAGAAAGGGATGGTCAGGAAGGGCACCTTCTGATGGTCTTGGCCACGCATGGCCATGGGGAAGGCCTTAGACACCAGGGTCCGGCCACAACCTCCCCCATGAGAGCCCATTGCCCTGCAACCTGAGTTTCGGGGGCCTCTGAAATTGAGCCCAACAACTGCCCCACCCAGCAGTTAGGGTCCAGGGCTCACAGCTACAAAGGATTTGCCTATTCTCATGCCAAGAGGCTGTCAACGGATCTTAACAAGATAATAGCCAATAATGAACTCCTAACCAGGCACAGAGCTCACTGAAACCTCCCTATAGCCCCTAGTGGGGGCACAATTGCCATTACCTCCATTCTACAGATGAAGAAACTGAGGCACACAGAAAATCAAGCAACCTGCCTGGGATCACACAGCTCACTAACAGCAGAACCAAGATTCAAACCCAGGCTGGATCAAGACCTGGCCTCTTAACCTCTATCAGGTCATAACATCTTCCACAGGGGAAGGGCCTCCCGAGGCCCTCGTGGGGACCCCACTGCAGACACACACAGGGCATGCCTCTTTCATCCATCCGTTCAGCAGTAGACCGTCACATCACGGTGATGTCAGATCCGATGTTCAGTACCTGGCAATACCAAGATGGAAGAGACCGAGCCCTGGCCTTGTGGAGCTCACAGCCAAAGGCAGGGATTCTCTCCCACACCCATTTCTTCATCGATATGATGGGGCTGACATGATAATGCCCAGCTCAAATGAGAGGCCAGACAGTAAAGAGGTTTGCTAACTGTGAAGTGCTGTACCTCAGTGAGGGACACATAAGGAAGGGATGAGGAAAAACGTCTGTGTAACCCTCCCGTGAGCCAGTCTTGGGGGAGAGTCCAGGGGACTCCGGAGTGCTGGCCCTCGGGTCCCTGACACGGCATTGACCCTGGGCCTGTCTGCCCATTACGTGACCGTGGCCCTGAAGGCTGTCCTGGGCCCCGGGAGGCTGATGGAGTTTTTCAGGAAAGACTCTGAAATTCTGCAGGTTTCAGCCCCACGCAGGGCTGCCCAGGGGATGACGCAGGCTTTTACAGACAGAGTGAGCCCCTTGTCACTGGAAGTATGCAAAGGCAGGGCTGGGGAGCCATCTGGAGAACTCTTTTAGATGAGAATCCCACACCAGATGGAGGCACTGGTTGGTCCCTCCCAGGCACCAGATGGCCGAATCCCCGCCCCCCCCCCCCCCCCCCAGACCACTTTAAGAAGGAGGTTCAGGGTGGTTCTGAAGGCACCAGAGCATCTGAACTCACAGTGGTTGCCTTCAGGTTCCTCCTGGCCCTCCCAGCCCAAGGACCCAGCAAGCCAGACCGGCTGGGGCACTCACCCACATTGATGGCCCAGCCTCGCTCCATGGCCAGCTTCCCTGCCTTTGGAGACAAGCACAAGGTGAGAGGCACAGGCAACCAATTCCCTCACTCATTCATTCACTGATTAACTGATTCATTCATTCATTCATTCATTCATTCATTCATTCCATAAACACCATTTCCAGAGAGCTCTGACATAGGATGATCTATGAGGTAGGGTTCAGGAGACCCCCACCCTCCAGCAGACTCAGACTCAGTCTTGGAAGTACCAGACTGGCTGCTGTATGAGAACTGCAAAGCCGCAGAACTGCAATTCTGAGAGGCGACTAGAAGAAATCAAAGTTAAATAGTTATGATCACACGTGAGCTGACAAGGATTTTGATGAGGCTTTCAGTGGAAAAATAGACAATTTTTGACCCACAGAAATACGGTAGGGTGAATACCAAAATCTTGTAGGAAATCATGGTTTGGGAGTGGGCAGTGATATTTAAAAAAAACAAAAAACAAAAAACAAAAATTTCCAAAGCTAAAAAGAAAACTATAGATCAATAGGTCTTGATCTGGCTCTGGATGAATTCATCCCACACCTAGGGGGCGCCTGGGTGGCTCAGTGCATTAAGCCTCTGACTCTTGATTGCAGCTCAGGCCATGATCTTGCGGTTTGTGAGTTTGAGCCCCACATTGGGCTCTGCACTGACAGCTGGGAGCCTGCCTGGGATTTGCTCTCTCTCCTTCTCTCTCTGCCCCTCCCCCTGCTCATGCTCTGTCTGTCTCTCTCTCAAAACAAATATTTATGAAATATTCTTTAAAAAAAGATTATCCTACATCTAAATCTGAAATGTTTCTCTACCTCCAATTAACTCGGCAGCCTGTGGCTAATTTTAAAGACAACTACATATGGGATGAAGAAGCTACTTTTGCTGTAAGTATTCTTTACTGTCACCCCCATGATGGGCAGTGAGGGGAGCATCGCCCATCACTGAAGCCATGGGGGCTTGGTTTTGCCATCTTGACTTGAGAACACTATAGCCATAGCTTGAGGATACACCCCCTGGGGAAAGGGGATATATCTTATACACCAGCAAATACGGTAACTCTCATAGGAGGTCATGGGGGAAGGAACAAGGAATTCTAATGTCCCCAAGTGGGAAAGGCTTTGGGAGAAAGAGTCATTGTTACTGTGCCTTGAGGACTATTTAGGATTTTGTTCAACTACAAAGTGGGAGGAGAGTATTCCGGATGGAGAGCCCAGAGTGGGCAAAGGCCCGGAGGTGTGGGGTCCCAAGCCCAGCCCTTCCTCCCACCTGCATCCCCACCTACCATGATGGTTCCTCCCGTCTGGGTCCGAAGGGGCTTCAGCACCTTCCTCTGCACAAGGAAGTTGGGGAGAAAGATGACAGGGGGGATCTCTGTGATGGTGGCAACAGCAAAGGACCACTGTGGAAGGAGACACAGGTCGTTATGCCCAGAGTGCAGAGGCAACAGCTGGGAAATCAGATTGCCAGTTTCCAGGTGACCTGGGAGAACTTCCAGTCAAGTGCAGTTCCTTTGGTAAGAAGTGAGAGCCCCTGACCCAGCTTTGGGCTCAGTAAGAACAGTTCCTTGCCTTAAAGCTGTTGGCCCACATTCCTCCAAAGCCCTTGGCTGCCCTCTTGCGCCCAGAGCGAGAGCTGCAGAAGACGCCAAGTCACAGGGGCGGCAGACCCAGCCCTGGCCCAGCCCACCCACTGTACAGAAGGGGGAGGACACTGAGGCCCTGAGCTGGGAAGATCTTTCTTTCCAACGTCAAACAGTGAGTCAATGGCAGAGCCAGCACTGGAAGCCCAGGTCCGCTTCCCCGGCACATGACCTCGTCATCCACTAGGAATCGGTCCTCCCTTCAAAAGGCGTATCAGGCCCTCATTTCTGGCTACCGAGGCAGGAGGGTCTAGGGTACCCAAAAGGCATTTGCATGAAGATTAGGACACAGCTTTCCCTGTGACCCTCCCAGACCCCGGGGCAAATGTCCATGGGCCCAGATCCCGAACCATCTGCTGCCTGGCTGAGAGTGTACCTGGATCCGTGCTCCCTGCTCTCCTCTGACCCCAGGCAGAGCCTCAGAGGGGCCCAGGGCACTCTGTAAATATTTACTGAGGCTCCAAGGTGGGGGCTACTCCTGTCCTTCTGACACAGCCCACAGCCGAGCAGGGAGGCACTCATATGCAATGTGGCAAAGCCTTTTGATGGAGAACATGGTCTGGGTCCAGGTGGGAACACAGCAGCTTTCTGGAGGCAGTGACCTCCAAGCTGAGTCTGAAGGTGAATGGGAGTTGCCCGGATGTCACAGTCAAGGTGAAAAGACAACTACTGGCAAAGGGAAGTGAGTCCACGCTCACGAGAAGTTGGGTACAACTGGGGCGGGGCCAGGCCTGTCCCGTAGGGCCTGTGCTGCCAGAGAATGTTCTCTCTCAGACAGCCTCATCAGAGCAGCAGGGAGCCATCAGATGGTGCTTGCCCAAGCTATTCTGGCTGCAGCAGGAGGACCAATTAGGAGAACTTGAATAGAAGCAGCAGCAGCCCCAGGGAGGAAGCGAGAAATAATGAGGGTCCAGAGAAGGGGAGATGGGGAAGGTTAGCAGATAGCACGTAGGGGATGGGCAGACAGAGGAGTCCAGGATGCAAGGTTGGAACCCCAAGACTCCAACCCTGAAGGCAAGGGCCAGAAGGGTAGCCCACTGTGAAAATCGAGGGCTGTCCTGGGACAGGGTGGGGCAGAGGTATGGCCCTCAGGAGGCCAGGCAGAGAGGAGTTTCAGGAAGGAGTAAGCCAAGGGAGGTGTTGAGAACAGGGAGCATGGCCACTGGGTTCTCCCACCAGGGGAGGAGATTTAGGGCAGGAGAGGCATGTTCAGTAAGGGCGAGGAGTCAGCAGAGAGGAAAGAGGCTGGGCCAAGGATGAGGTAGGACAGCAGAAAGGGCATATGCCTGGGAAGGTCCTGGCAGGCGCCTTAGCCAGGGGGCACTACTTGAGGCCAGGGAGAGAAGGCAGAACAGGCCCCATGTCAACTTCCATAGGGTCCGGGTGTGCTGGGAAACCCAGGCTGCCTGAACTGCACTGAATACCTGTGTGGCCACCCCCAGCCCCCACCCAGGCCACCAAGGCTGAGGACAGTTGTAGGCTGGGGAAGCCCTCACTCAAGTGAAGGAGCTGGTGAACGTGGCGTATGGCCCACAGACCACTTGCAGTCTGAAAAGGGAGGTGCCCCTCCAGCCTTCCTCAACCCCCGGCCTCCCAGCTGCACCATGGAGGCATCACAGGGCCTGGGAGGTGGTATGGGTGCTAGAGCTGAGACCAGCCAGGAAGGCTGGAATGCTCCAAGACCTGTCCATGTGCGTGTGTGGTGGGGGACAGACCCAGAGAAGGGAAGGTGGCCAGCTCTGACTGTTCCTCACACCAATCCCACTGCCCAACACAGGCTTGGCCTATGGGAGGCATGGAACCATGGTTTTCTTCCTTTTTTTAAATTTTTTATTAGGCTCCATGCACAACGTGGGGCTTGAACCCATGACCCTGAGATTAACAGTTGCATGCTCTACAGACCTAGCCAGCCAGGAGCCCCAGAACCACAGTTTTCTATGAATAAACAGTGAAAACAACAACTCAGCCACTGAAGGAACATGTTAAGTCACTGCCTCCCTCTCTCCCTCAGCAAGCTAGCAGGGAATAAGGATTGGAAGAAAACGAAAGCTTATCCCAGCCTCCTGAGGGGTCCCATATAGACACAAAACCACGAAGGGGGCATGTTTTAAAGTATGTTCCGCAGCAACTGCCTAGCCCAGCGCGCTATCAGGAAAGGGTTCCACATCAAATGACTCTGGGAAACACTGCTTATGTTGTCCACCTCTTGGAAACTCACATGGGAAACATGTAAAGGGCTCGAAATTTTGCCGTACAGAATCCTATCCGCTGCCCGAGTTTTCTGGCCACAAACCTCTGCCGGCCTGCCTTACTTTTTACACAACGCCTGCTGACCTTTGGAAAGCTGCAATCACGTGGGACACACTAGGGAATGAATCTTCCACGGGCCGGGTATAAAGTCACCAGAAGAGCGTCTGGGATGTAGCCAAGGGGACCAGTCCCCTTAGGGGAAGAGTCACGTCTGCCAACGTTTCTCCACTTCCGGCAGTGAGAGATGGTGCCAAACGGCTCAGCCCTCTCCCGGGCCCAGCCGTGGCCTCTGTGCAAGGCAGTGGTGCTGCCTACTGATGAGCTAGACTCGTGCTGTCCCATCCAGCGGCCACCAGCCACACGTGGCTACTTGGGTATAATTTTAAGTGAAAAATTTTTTATTAGAATTTTGTTACTTCAATCAAGAAAATAGAATTTCGTTCCTCAGTCTCACTGGCCATAGTTCAACTGCTCGATAGGCACGTGTGCCTAGGGGCTACTGGCCGGGGCCATTCCAGAACATGTGCACCGTGGCAAAAAGTTCTATTGGACGGAGCTGCTCCAGAAAAACCACCAGTGGCCAGGGTGAAAAATAGACGGGGTGGGAGGGGCAGGCTGGTGGCTGGGCCCTGGAGGGGGTGGGCGGGGAGGTTCTACACAGGGGCGTGCAGGGCAGCAGGCTGGGATGAGGGCACCCAGATCAGGCCCTCTGAGAGCCTGGCCCCAGGCAAGGGCATTGAGGGATGGGCTAGATGGGAGTAGGGTGGGGACAGGACTCAGAAGTCCTCCTCAGAGTAAAAACTGGTCCGACTCTGGGCTTTGCCACTGCTGTGTCAATTTGGACACAACCCTTACTTCTGTCTCGTCTCCTCATCTATGAAACAGGGACCCCTCCCCACCAGGCCTAAAACGGGGCCTTAGACCAATCTGCCAGGCCTGTCCTCAACTCCCCATCTGAAGACCCCCCCCCGGCTCCACCCCGACCCCTGCCCTTGCCTCATCTTTCTGCACAGCACCTGTCTCTACCTGGCGTTACAATATGTCTCAGTGGTTATCTGTCTGTTCCAGAAGGATGCCACAGCCAGGAGTGTAAGCACACACTCATTCTCATTCCTGCTATACAGATGATGCTGAGAGTGAAGCCTGCACACAGCAGGTGCTTAGAGCGCATGCCGCCCACCCTTGCCCAGACTCCTCCCTGCCTACACACTCCCTGGAGGAGGCCACCTCCCCTGCACCCTGCACCGCCCAGGAGAGCTGGATGACTAGCTGATAAGGGGCTAGGACAGTCTGGCCCTCTGCTCCCAAGACAGCACAAATGCAGAGCCCTCCTGGGGTCAGGTGAGGCCATACGTGTGCCCAGCTGCTTCCCCTCCCCCCCCTTACAGGTGTCACCCGAGGCTTGCCCTCAGGGAATCCCTTGCACCTCCATCCCCACCACAGGCTCTGCTTCTAGGGCTGTGCTTCTCCAAGTGTAGTTCCCAAACCAGCAACACCAGCATTTGAGAACTTGTCAGAAACACAGAGTCTCAGTCTCCTCTCCAGACCTCCCGAATCCAAAACTCTGGGAGTAGGGACCAGTGATCTGCATCACGACAAGCCTTCCAGTGGATTCCAATGCTTAAGCAAGTTGCAGAACCACTGCTCTAGCGAACTTGAGCCCATAGTGCTGAATGAATGAATGAATGAATGAATGAATGAATGGACATAAACAGAGGAGGTTTTACCACCCCAGCCTAATGCCCACTGCCCACCAAAAGGCCTGGCCTGCGAGCTTCCCCAGTAGAGACTGGCTGCAACCCCATGTGGAGGCCCCAACTGCTTGGTTTGGGTCAGAACTTTCCACCAGTGGAAGTGGGAGCAAAAGGAGAGAGGGGCGCCTGGGTGGCGCAGTCGGTTAGGCGTCCGACTTCAGCCGGGTCACGATCTCGCGGTCCGTGAGTTCGAGCCCCGCGTCAGGCTCTGGGCTGATGGCTCAGAGCCTGGAGCCTGATTCCGATTCTGTGTCTCCCTCTCTCTCTGCCCCTCCCCCGTTCATGCTCTGTCTCTCTCTGTCCCAAAAATAAATAAAAAACGTTGAAAAAAAAAATTTAAAAAAAAAAAAAAAAAAAAAAGGAGAGAAAGGAAAAAAATCCACACCATCATCTCAGTTGATGAAGAAGGAGCCTTTGACAAAATCCAACACCCTTTCACGATAAAGTCCATCAACAAACTAGAAACAGAAGGGAACTCTGCCACACTGGCAGAGGGCATTTATCCACACGTGCACATGCAAACACACACACACACACAATCACATAGCTATCACCATACACAGTGCTAAAAAACTGGAAACCTTCAGCCTAAGATCGGGAACAAGAGAGGGATACCCACTTTTGCCCCTTCTATTCAACCTCACACTGGAAGTTCCAGCCAGAGCAATTAGGAAAGAAATAACAGGTCTCCAAACTGTAAAGGAAGAAGTAAAACTAATCTCTATTCACAGATGGCATAATGTTAGCTGCAGAGAA